TATTAAAATAGGGCCAGCCAAATAGTTCAGCAGATTGGAGCACCAGCAAGCAGGCGCAGGGGCTGGGAGTTCGATCCCTGGGCCTGCTGTGCCAGCTCCACCCCCAGGGGCATGCTGAGATGGCAATTGAGACTGGGCGTGGTGGCTGGTGGCACACACCTGTAATCTCAGCTCTTGGGAGGCAGTCAACAGGCAGATCCCTACAAGTCAGATCTAGTAGTGAGACCCTGAACACGCTGTAGACCCTTTCTTAAAATATGATCAATAAATAAATAAATAAAATATATTAAAATAAGCTGGGTGTGATGGCACACACTTGTAATCTCAGCACCTGGGAGGCTGAGGCAGGAGGATTGCTGTGAGTTTGAGGCCAGCCTGGGCTACAAACTTAGTTCAAAGCCAGTCTGCTGAAAAAAAAAAAAAAAAAAAAAAAAAAAAAAAAAAAAAAAAAAAAAAAAAAAGCATATGATCCCAGTACTTGAGAGGCTGAGGCAGGAGGATTGCCTTAAATTAGCCTGGGTTAGATCAGTCTGGGTTACATAGTAAGTTCAAGTCTAGCCTAAATTACACAGTGAGATGCTGTCTCAAAATTAGAAAAATGAAAAATGGTTTTGTACTGGATAGGTACAGATTTTTTATTTTCTAGCTCTTTCTGGCCAACATTATTTTTTGGCTAAGGCAGGAGGATTGTTGAAGGTTCATAGCCAGCCTTGATTAGATAGTGAGACCCGTCTCAAAAAACCCAAACAGGGCCAGGGGTATAGCTCAGTGGCACAGCATCTGCCTGGCAAGCACAAGGTCCTGAGTTCAATTCTGATATTAAAACAAACAAACAAACAAAAAACACAATAAACAAAACAAAAACCAAACATATAAGACCTTGGCAGCTGAGGGAAAAACAGCTGCACAGAGGGCCCCACTGTCCTCAGGAGGTGACAAGTGCTGAGTGAGCCCTTGAGGGACTGACCCCGTGTCACGGAGGTGACTTCCTGCCCAAACTGGTGCACAGCTGGCTGTCCACACGCTGCGCTGCTCCTGACCAGAGAAACTGCTCTCCGGAACCCTGTGTAGAACTAATCCTGTTAAAGTCTGAGGATAGGAAGCTTCTGTCAGCCACGCTTGCAGTGAAGGTTCCTCCTGCAGGTCTCCGTGGGGGCGCCCAGCCCTCTGTGTTGGAGCCTCACTCAGTGAGGGACCACGCCTCACGCAGCCCAGTGTGGTGACAGGGGGCAGGGGACCATTTGGACACTGTCATCACTTCAATTTGGACACTGTCATCATTTCAGAGACTAGCTCTTATTATCCAGGGTTTTTTGTGTTTTTGAGACAGGATCTCACTATGTAGCCCAGGCTGGCCTGGACTGCGGGATGATTCTCCTGCCTCAGCCTCCTGAGTGCTGGGACAATAGGCATGTGCCCCCATGCCCAGTCAGTACCCAGGTTTGGTGCAGTGGGTACAAGCTTCCCAAGCCTGAAGCAGGGGTGGGGGGGTGGCAGGGGTGGGGGTGGCAGGGGTGGGACAGGTATGACCTGGGTCTCTTAACACTCTGAGCCACCCTGGTCTCTGGTTCTGTGCAGCATGGTGCCCTCCTGTCCCATTCCATGAAGTGGAACTAGCCTGCAACTCCGCATTCTCATGCATAATGTTTTCTGGAGCTACGGGTGTCCCACTGGCTGTACCTAGGAGCACAGGCATCCATGTGCCTGTCTACCCTAGGCCTTCTTGCCCCAGGTGTGGTGGCATATGCCTGTCACCCCAGCACCTGGGAGGCTGAGGCAGGAGGATCTCTGGGAGTTTGAGGCCAGCCAGGGCTATATGGTAAGATCCAGTTTAGAAACAAAACAAAACAAGCAAATGCAAAAGGAGCACTTGGTCCTTATCCCTTAAGCCCCTCTGCACAGGTGTCAGCTGCTGACAGGTGTGGCTTGCCTGCTTGGCTCAGAACCTGGGTTCTGTCCCCCAGCAGAGGGGCCGGGTAGCCCAGGCTGAGGGAAACACAGCCCAGAGAGGAGGAAGTGGAACAGGGCCCCATTGAGCCTGACTGGCTGCTTCTACTTTGGCACTGAAAATGGCCAATTTCAGCCCGTTGGGTCCATTTCGCAACCGGGTTACATGATCCCCAGAGCTGCCGGGGATCTCCCAGCAGAGGTGTGAAGGCGGAGCCTGGGAGCGAGCTGCAGCAAGGGTCTTCGCTTGTGGCTGGGGCCCAAATCAGGGGAGGCAATGATCATCCTGTGAGGCCACCACCCCGCACATGCCTTGGGGTTTCTACCCCCTTCAATCGGCTGGGACCAGACCCTAATCTTTCTTTTCTGTTTTGTTTGTTGTTTGTTTTTGGAGACAGGATCTTGCTGCGTGTAGTCCAGGCTGGATTCAAGTTCACAGAGATCCTCCTGCCTCAGCGCCCCCAAAGGCTGGGCTTCCAGGAGTGCCCCACCATGCCCGGGTTGCCTCTTGCTCCAGAAAGCATCCCTGCTGCTTGAGACGGGAGTGAGAACTCTGCTGCCGGGGGCAGCCGTGCATCTGCTGAGTCCCGGGCCAGGCTGGTCCTTATATCACAGTGAGCTTCTCTCAATGAACATAGCTGCCCGAGCCCTACCCTCCCGGAGAGAAAGGTGAGGTGGCCATGTGCCAGCAGCCTCACAAAGTGGCGTTGTTACGTTGCTCTCAGATGTTCCTGTGTGGCTTCTTGGGCACAGGAGGATCTGTTTACACTGTTGGGGTCCCGTTGACCCTGGCCCCATGACAATACCGACAATGCCAGCCTCTGTTCACGCTGGGAGCTGTTGGAAGTGCCTGGCCCAGCCTATGTGCAGGGTGAGGGCGGAGGGCGGGGGGCGGAGGGTGACACTAGATCCCACCCGGAGGGTGAGCTCATTCCTGGGGCAGAGCAGGTTTCTGAGAAGGTCGGGGCGGGGGGAGGTCGAGGTATTGGTTTCTTGGTGAGACCTCTCTCTAGGATGCCAGCCACAGTGCCGGTCCTCAGTCCTGGTTCCCTGGAAGCCTGGGGCAAAGGGCTCATCCGACGCCCACAGTGAGGTCATGGCCCCATGTCACTTCCACCCCCCTCCTGGTACTGGGCATGGGAATGTGGCTGCTTGGGGCGAGGCCATCTGCTAGGTCCAAGCTCACTCTGGGTTGAAGAGGTGCTCTCACCCCAGCCGTGGGGCTCCCGTGCATCCCTCCAGGGACTGTCCTCGCCGCCATGGTCAGGCCCAAACTTGTCACATTCTGCTTACTTGGTTTATTTATTTATTTATTTATTTTAGATGGAATCTTGCTGTGTAGCCCAGGCTGACCTTGAACTCAGGGCAATCTTGCCTCAGCCTCCCGAGTTCTGGGATTACTGCATGAGCCACCACAGGCTCAAAACCTCTGGATTTCTTTTAGTCTCTATCCCCACCCCCCCAGAAGCAAATTAAAAATCACAAGTCATAGGTAAAAGGAGGAGAGTTTGAACCTGAAGCTGGCTGGGCCTATCTTCTGTCGAATTCACCTCTCTACCCTGAGGCAGTGAAGTGTGAAGGGAAGAACATTCTCCAGGAGTGACAAGCTGTCCTGTCTCAGAGTCTGGGTGAGAAGGAAGCCTCTGACTGCTGGGAGCTGGCGTGGCTGAACACCGGGTAGGGGTGTTGGCCTAGGTCTCTTTGGCCTGTTCAGGCCAGAATCCATCTGGCCCTATCTTGGGTTTCCCCCAGAGCAATCCTTCTGGGCCCTTCGAGGGCTTCCTTACCTGGGTTTCTGCTGCCTCTCTGAAGCTGATCTGTTCTTCTCTTTTTAGAATTAATGTAATAGTTTTTAATGCAGGATGTGGTGCTGCACACCTGTTATCCCGGCTCTCAGAAGGCTGAAGCAGGAGGGTTGCTGTGAGTTGGAGTCCGGGGAGGGTGCACAGTGAGACCCTGCCTCCAAAGAACAAACCCAGAAGAAAAATCTGTGCTTTTCTCCGGCATTAAAGGGCAGAAGCACCCATTCAATTTCAGGCTTCATCTGTAAGTCATGACTGGCGTCCTGTAGGGATGTCCTGGGCCCAGGCTCACCGAACATTCGCCGTGTGCCAGGCACCACGCTAGGGTGGAGAGTGACCTTGGCCTGCTCCCCTTGATTGGATAGCGCAGGCCCAAGAGAGACCCCTGCCAGGCTGGCCTGATGGGCAGGGCAGCCTTCTCCAGGTAGGGGAGGAAGCGAAGGCAAAGGCCATGGACACCCTGCAGAAGGCAGAGGCCTCAAGCAGCTCCAGGAACAGGAAGCGGTTGGGTCCACTGCAGTGGATCTTGGAATCCCAAAGACGAGTTTATTTCAACAGTGCTTTGGGTCAGGCTCTCTGCAGGTAGCCCCACTGGCTTTGAACTCACTGTAGAGAGCCCTGGGCTTGGGGATGTGTGGGCATACATGAGGAGACCCTTCAGGCAGGACTGAAGCCAGCACAGAGTTCACTTCTGTTCCGTACACGAGCCTGACAGTAATTTCGTAGTGTTTTCAGTGCTGTTGGGGCAGGTTGGAGCTTTTCAACGTTGTGACCACAATGTTTTCGACCTTGACACATCTCAGGTTGCTTTTTTTTTGTGGTACAGAGACTGAACTCGGGGCCTTGTGCTTGCCAGGCAGGTGCTTATGCTGCCGAGCTACCTCCAGGCCCAGACTCCTGGGGCTTGGATCAGGGATGGTGTCCCACGGGCGTGAGGGACTGTTGGGTGGCTTGAGAGGCACCGCAGGCCCTGGCCCTGGATCCCGTGCCCCAGGGCCGCTGGGAGGCTCCACCAGCGAGCCAGCGAGGGGCTCAGGCCCTGCCCATCTGCCCACGGGGCCCTTGAGCTCCAGCCAAGATGCAGGGCAGCGTCTGGAGCCTCTCATTGCCCCAGGGGCAACCGTCCTGGGTGACTCACTGGCCGTGTGTAACCCTGAGGGAACTGGCCTTGAGCTCAGGACACAGCCCAGGCTGGCCTGGAAGTTAGGGCAGGGCGAGCCTGCTGCCTCAGCCGCGGAGGCCTGGGGTGAGAGGGGTACGCCCCGCCTGCCCTCCCAGCTGAGCCTTCCAGGTGCTTTGGGCTGCTTCTCCGTGGGTGGGGCGCTCGGCCCCCAGCGGGAGACCCCAGGAGCTGCGCTGCTGGAGATGCCTCATGCTCAGCCCTACGCCGGGAGCCGTGCACAGCCCACCCCACGGCCCATAGAAGGGGACTGAAGGCCGGCGGGCTTGGGACAAGGCAGGCCACTGCTGAGCTCCAGAGACCACAGTCTCCCCTTGTCACCTTTGAGCGGCCTGTCAGCTGGAGAGTAAGGCCATGGTGGCCTGGCGCAGGGCCTGTGCTGCCTCCACATGGGGCCCTGCCAGGGGCCAGGCAAGAAGTGGCCTGGGCTGCTCAGGGCCCTCCTGCTATTCTTTTTTATGTTTTGTTTTGTTTGCTGTTTACATTCTGGAGACAGAGTCCCCTTATATAGTTCAGACTGGCCTTGCTGTCCCTATGGGGCTCTAATGGCCAGGACTCTCCTGCCTCAGCCTCCTGAGCACTGGCATTTGGCTTGCACCCCCACCCCCGGGTCTCCTGTGGTTCTAGGTCCTGTCTAGGTGGCTGCTAGCATCTGCTGATGTCCAGGAAGCACGTGCTTTATGCAGCTGTCTGCCCCAGGCCCCACCCCCACCCAGGGTGGCTGACCTACAAGACGGGGGCATCTGTGAACTCGAAGTGAGGAGCTAGGACCCAGGGGCCCACGTGCTCTGCAGAGTGGGTGGAGTCCCTGAGCCATGAGCACCCAACAGTGTTGAGAGGTGGGACTGGCAGGAAGAAGGTGTTCTCTGAGATCCCAGTGCACAAAGGCTGAGGCGGGAGGACTGCAGGAGTCTGAGGCCAGCCTGGGCTACACAGTGAGGCCCTGTCTCAAAAAGACAACAGTGAATTCAGACATGGGGCGTCCTGGCCAGGCTTCCCTCGGTCTTCTTCCATGGCTCAGAAGAAATGCCAGCTCGATTCTTCAGAGCTTGTGCCCCTGATGTTTGGCCTTTGAGACAGGGTCATCACCACGGAGCCCAGGCTGGCCTCAGACGCCTACAGACGTTTCTGCCTCAGCCTTCCAGTGCTGGGGCTGCAGGTGTACACCAACTGTACCTGGCCACTGGCACCATTCTGAGTAGGTGACTGACTTAAATGCTTTGCCAAAGAAGACCAACGACACCCTCTTCTTCCCAGAAAGATTGCAGTGAATATGTGGTGACATGCATGGTGACCCGTGGCTGGGAACCACAGAGCCCGGGATCAGCCTTCTGCACCACTGGCCCTGTCCTTCCCTCTGCCCCTGCCGCCTGCTGGCTCTGTCACCACCCCTGTTGCTGTCCCAGGCTTGGAGGCCCCGGGTGTGCACAGAGATCAAGCCGTCTGTTCGGAGCCGGTCCCCCTGGGGACATCAAACGCGGCAGGTGACAGATGTTTGTAGTTGGGAAGCGCTGCTGCTTTGATTTGCCGTCTACTTTCTGAGAGCTTGACAAACGTGCCCCGGGCCTTGGCTTCGAATGTCTCCGTCAGGAGCCCTGCACTTGACCCAATGCACGGACCCTGCTCTTCTCGCAAGAGCTCCTCTGTGGCTGCCCATAACCAGCCCCCCCCCCCCGGGGCTGAGGGAGGCTCCCTGCTCCTCCTCCTCCTCCTCCTCCTCCTTCTCCTCTTCTTCTTCCTCCTCCTCTTTTTCCCTCTCCTCTTTTTTCTCCTCCTCATCAGGAGCTGTGTGCTAGGCACCTGTGGGGCTTCTCCAGGGAATTTTTTTTCCTTTTTGAAGTAGGGTTTCTCTCTGCAGCCCAAACTGGCCTCCTACGCCTGGAGATCCTCCTGCCTGAGCCTCCTGAGTGCTGGGATGACACGTGCGCGCCACCAGGCTTGTGCCACACGGGTTTCAGCATGCGAGGAGGGCCGGGGAACTCTTACCCAACTCGGCAGGTCCGCTGCCAGGAGGAGAAAGCAAAGCCCCTCCCTCCCAGCGCGGGCCTGGGCTACCTGCATGAAGGTGGGGGCGCCTTCCAGGAGACCTGTGACAGCAGAGCGGGGTCACTGTGCTCTCCTCTGAGGAGACGATGGCGCCAGGGGGAAAGCACAGTAAGCTGCTAGAGAGAGCCGGGTAGCTCTGGGGCGCATGGTGTGTCAGGCCGCTCACGGCCCCGGGAGCCCGCAGAGTGCCACATTCCAGTGCCGACTTGCTGAGAGATGAATGACAGCTCCAAAACATACATGACGGAAAATAGTTTTCTTCTGCGAGCTATGATGGCCCGTGCCTGTGATCTCAGCGCTCTGGGAGGCTGAGGCAGGAAGATCATACATTTGAGCCCATCTTTGACAGTTTAGCAATTTAGTGAGATCCTGTTTCAGAATTAAAAAAAAAAAAATAGATCAGAGAGCTAAATGTTAAAGCAAGCTGGGTGTGGTGACCTGTAATCCCAGCACTCAGGAAGCAGGAAGGCTGCCCAGAGTTTGAGGCCACCATGGGCTAGAAAGTGATTTCAAGGCCAACCTGGACTGTATAATGAAACCTTGTCTCAAAAAGACAAATAAATAAATAAAAGATAAAGAAAGAAAAAAGGAACAGGAAAAAAAAGATTTTTAGACCCTTCTCAGAAGAACAGATGGGCAACATGTACATGAAGAAGTGTTCAGCAGGTTGGGCCAGGCTGGCTAGATAGCTCAGCAGCCTAAGCGCTTGCCTGTCAAGTGCAAGGTCCTGAGTTTGATCCCCGGTACCACAAAAACAACAGCAAAAACCCACAACCAGTTCTGGCCGTTAGAGAAATACAAATTAAAACAATATCTAGAAACCACAGAAACAATGACTATTATCAAGAAATTAACTAATTGCTGGCCTGATGTGATGCCACATGTCTATAACCCCCTATAATCCCAGTGTGCGGGAGGCAGAGTCAGGAGGATCACCTGAGCTCAAGACCAGCCTGAACTATATCAGGAATGTAAACTGGTACAACCACAGTGAAAATCAACTTGGAGATGTATCCACAAACCAAAAGCGGGGTTGAGCTGGCGCTCCGGGGCACAGCAGTGGCCTGGCAAGCTCAAGGTCCTGATTTCTATTCCCAGTGTCAAAACAAAATAAAGAAGCACCTAGAAATAGAGAGTCCCTTTGATCCAGATTTGTACCTTCTAGGATCTTCTAGAGCATATTACCGTGATTTGCATGTACCCAGATTTGTAGCAGCACAATCACAACACTGGTAGCTAAGTTGTGGAAGCTGTGCCCATTGGCAGATAAATGGCCAAACCAAAAGTGTCTACACACAGTGGAGTACCACGCTGCCATCAAGAAGGAGGGGCCGAGCGTCGGGCCCATACCCGGCCGTCGCCGGCAGTCGGATCTGGACGGGAGCGGGGCCGGGGGCACCTGCGCGGCGCTGGCGCGCGCCCTCCTCCCTCCCTCCCTCCCCCCTCGCGGGGGTGCGGGGGGGTCCGGGGTTCCGGGGCGTGGCGCCGCCGCCCGCGTCTACCCCCCACGGCCGGACATGAGAAAAATATTGTACCTTCAATGATGATATTCAAGGAACAGCTGCAGTAGCTCTAGCAGGTCTTCTTGCAGCCCAAAAAGTTATTAATAAACCGATCTCAGACCACAAAATCTTATTTCTTGGAGCAGGCGAGGCTGCCCTTGGAATTGCCAATCTTATCGTTATGTCTATGGTAGAAAATGGACTCTCAGAAGAAGAGGCACAGAAGAAAATCTGGATGTTTGACAAGTATGGTTTATTAGTTAAGGGTCGGGATGCCAAAATAGATAGTCATCAGGAACCTTTTGTACACTTGGCCCCAGAGAACATACCTAGTACTTTTGAAGATGCAGTAAATATACTTAAGCCTTCAGCTATAATTGGAGCGGCAGGTGCTGGCCGGCTTTTTACTCCTGAAGTAATCAAATCCATGGCTAATATCAATGAAAGGCCGATAATATTTGCATTAAGTAATCCAACAGCACAGGCTGAGTGCACGCCTGAAGAAGCATACACACTTACAGAGGGAAAGTGTTTGCTTGCCAGTGGCAGTCCATTTGGGCCCGTGAAACTCCAAGATGGCCCAGTCTTCACACCAGGGCAGGGAAACAATGTATATATTTTCCCAGGCACTGACAAGCCAGTTGACAGATGAAGAGTTAGCTCAAGGGAGACTCTACCCACCTCTCGCTAATATTCAGGAAGTTTCTGTTAACATTGCTATTAAAGTTTCAGAATACTTATATGCTAACAAAATGGCTTTCCGATACCCAGAACCTGAAGACAAGGCCAAATATGTTCAAGAAAGAATATGGCGAAGTGAATATGATTCCCTGCTGCCAGATATGTATGAGTGGCCAGAATCTGCATCCAGACCTCCTCCAATAGCAGAGTAGAAGCGCCCCACACTGATAATATTTTCCATACATCAGGGAACCCATTAAAAAAAAAAAAAAGAAGAAGGAGGGGCCCCAGTCATCCTTAGGAAAATGAGACCATAATAGTTCATTTTGAGACGTGGTCTTGCTGTGTAGCGCAGACTGGCTTTGAACTTGCTGTGTGGCCCACGCTGGCTTCAGCTGACTGTGCCTTCCTGCCCGTGCCTCCCAAGTGCTGGGATTACAGGTGTGCACCTACGTCAATCCAGACCTGCAAGTTTAAATAGCTTGTGGGTTCTCCTCTATGAGAAAGCCGGAGAGATAATAGGAAGGAGGGAGACAGACCTTTGCTAAGGGGAAAGGGACCAAGACCTGGTGAGGGAAGCAGACTGGGAGGACGGACAGCTGCCCTGTGCGTGGCGGGCACAGGAAGAGGGGCTGCAGAGCCGGCCCGGCCAGGCAGGCTGTGGCCCGCGTGTGACGCAACTCTTCCTTTTCCATGGCTCCAAGGGACCAAGAGGCAAGGCTTTTCGTTTGTTGCTGATTTTCAGTTTTTGAAACAGGGTTTTGCTATGTAGTTCAGGCTGGCGTTGAATTTGCAGTGGTCTTCCTGCCTCAGCCTCCTGAGTGCTGGGATCACAGGTGTGCGCCACCATGCCTGGCTGGAATTACCATTTTTAGGGATTTTTTTTTTTTTTTTTTTTTTTAAAGAACAAAATAAAAGACACTTATTTGGGAGACAGGGAGTCAGGTCTTTTGTAAAAGGGAAGAAGAGCTAGGGGCGGGGTGGGGGAGAGGAGAGGTGAAGAAGGGTTGAAGACGTGCTCTTTGCCTGCACCAGTGCCATAGGAAGGTCATCTCTGTGCTCTACCCCCTGCTACCAGTCAGTAAGATAAAACGTTTCTGCTGGGGGCAGTGGTGCACGCCGTAACCCCAGCCCTCGGGAGGCTGAGGCAGGAGGGTTGCTGTGTGGCTAAGGCCAGCCTGGGCCACAACATGAGCTCAAGCCAAAACAAACCTCGATGAACAAAGGGACCCTGGGTTAGGTAGAGAGCAGGCAGGCAGGGGCTGTCCCCGCTGGCAGGACAGTGCCACCTTGTCCCTGGAGGGAAGGCATTGTGCTCTGTGCTTGAGCAAGGCTGACCCTCTGGCCTCTCCTTGGAGGTGCCTTTGTCCCCCTCCTGTCCACAGCCACCCTGAGTGCCATGTCGGGAAGGACCTGGTGAGGTTCTGGGGTTTTATCAAGAGTGGAGTTAGAGGCAGAGCTCCTTGTGGGGAAGGAGCCACCAGGGCTCCCTCGGTCACAGCCTGGCTGGCGCCACAGTGGCTGCGCAGCCTCTGGGTCCAGGCTAGGTGGCCAGCCTGGGAGAGGCCCTGTGGGGGGAAGTCTTGATTCCAGCACCGGAGAATCTGGGGTGTGGGGATCACCATGAGCTCAGGGCCAGCCTGGGCCACTTAGTGACACTCTGTCTCAAAAGGAGACCCAGAGGCCACCAGCCACCATAGCAATGACTTCCCTGTAGGGTGGGAAGGTGACAGAGGAGGAATTGCTTTTGTGGAGTCCTGGGGCCCAGGCATGGGGAGTGCCCAGCGTGTCCAGTAGACGGCTGAGCTGCTGTCCCCAGAGGAAGAAGTACAGGTGCCATGTGCCTTGCCCCTGTGCAGCCCAAGAGCTGAGAGCACAAGGGAGCCGGAAGAGCTGCGGCCGGGACTCTGCAGGCCCTGCAGGCAGGACGCATCAAGCACCCTTTCAACCCCCTTCCACACTTTAAAATATGTTTAATTAATTAATTTAATTAATTAAAAATAGTTTTTAAAGACAGAGTCTCCTTAGGTGATTCAGACTAGCCTTGAATTCCTGAAGATCCTCCTGCCTCAGCCTCTCTCATGCTGGATCACAGGAGTGCACTGTCACACCTGCTGCTAATGTGAGAAGAATTTGTCTGAGCAGACACTCCTTCCTTCCTGAGTCGTTTCAGTCCAGCATGTCTCTGAGGGACAAGTGTCTCCCCCGCTGGACAAGAAAGATCTATTTTTAGCCTCCCTTTGCTCCTTGGTAACTTTTTATTTTAGGTGAAATGCGAAGAACTTATCTTGTCTTGGGAGGATCGACGAGTGAAGAGCCTTTCACAGGAGCGCACCCCTGTGACCCAGCTCCTGGGGAGGCTGGGGCAGGAGGAGTGAACCTCGGCCTGGGTCAGGTTAGGAGTAAGAGTCTAGGCTGGGAGCTAGCTCCGTAGAGTAAGCACCTGCCTGGTACGCCCAAGGTCCTGAGTTCAATCCCTGCTACCCACCCCCCCACACTCATATAGCCACACATACAAACACACTCACACTCTCATACAGTCTCACACACATCCACAACTTGTACTCACACACTCATACACACATGCTCACACATGTGCACACACACACACACACTCACCCATACACACACTCACATTCTCACACACAGTCACACGCACCCCCCCCCCCAGTTTTGTCTTCCCAGCCCACAGATTCTGGATTCCTTCTTGGCTCAGAGTGGAGCGAGAGCCAGCGCCAGAACAGCACTTGGGCCAGGGGTGCAGCCCAGCTGTCCCCGCTGTCCTTGACCTCACTGCTTCCTGGTTGTCTGCAAGGTTAGGGTCCTGCTCACCTCTCGGGCTGGAACACAGAGAGCCTCGCAGTTAGGGACAGGGCTGCCGCGCAGGCTCCGGGGGCCTCTGGCGTGTACACCTTTTCTGGCCCTCTGAAACACAGAATTACAGAACTCGGCTTGCCACAACTGTTGGAGGCGGCTTTGCAACCCAGAGGTGGTGCGGGGCGTGGTGGCGAAGGCCAGCAATCCCAACATGCTGGGGGCTGCGCAGGAGGGCAACTTCATGACTTCGTGAGACTGTCTTGAAAAATGTTAAGGAAAGAACAAGAAAGGGGAAGGTCTGGGAAGGTAACTCAGAGTGCAGACCCTGGGTTCAAGCCCAGTATTGGGGAAAAGGAAAAAGAAGCCTGCGCCTGCTCCTCCAGCTGCTACCGTATCCCAGGACCCTGCGGGACCCAGGTGCCCTCTGTCACCTGGAGGTGCTCAGAAGCCCAGAAAGCAAGGAGCTGACGGCACGGTCCTGAGAACCAAGCGCAGCACTCAAGTCTAATAAATGTGATGAAAATGAACAGCCCCCTTTCGGAAACGCAGCTAACGGGCTGTGCATCGAGCCCCGTGCTCCCCGCTGAGGGGAGAGAAGGCCGCGTCCCTGCGGGGACCCGGCAGCCCTGGAGTCTGCAGCCGTGCAAAGCCTGCTTCCTACCTGCCCTCTCTTTTTAATTTTTTCGTGGAACCAGTGATTGGACTCAGGCCCTTGCACTTGCCAGGGAAGCACTTATTCCACTGAGCCGTCTTCCCGGCCCCCTGCCTGCCCTCTTTTGCCTGTCTGAGGAAGTTATTGGTGGGCAGTGTCATTTATAATCATGAGAATGGCAGCCTCCCATGGAAAGCCAGGGGTTGAGGAGCACAGGCCTGTCATCCTAGTGCTGGGGAGGTTGAGGGAGGAGGATCGCAATGAGTTCAAGGCCAGCCTGGACCACATAGTGAGATCCTGTCTCAGAAAACAGAAACAGATCAAATCAAAATGGAAAAGTTGGGGCTATAGCTCAATAACAGAGCACCCCAGGCTTTGGTCCATCTGTTATAGCCAACACAGGATGTGGAAGTTTCCTGGATGGGGTTAGTGAGGGAGAAGCCACCGCCCCAGGCCGGAACTTCCTGAGACCAGACCAAGATGGCGGTGGCGAGGATCATGGCAGTGACAGTGTGGGGTGAGGAAAAGGACTCAACCAGACTCCAGGCAGACAGGGTGGCCCGGCCTGCACTCCCTTTGGACCCAGGTGGTCACCTGAAGCCATGTGAGAATGTATTTGCTAGGAGCTGAGGTGGGGCAAAGGTGACAGCTAGTGTCCCACTTTTACCTCAAAGTGGTCTGAAAGCAAGCTTTTGGAAAGCCAGGTTTCAGGAGGCTGAGGCAGGAGGCTCCCCAGAGCTCACTATGTACTCATCATGCCCAGGCAGCCCTTGAACTTGAAGCATATTCCTGCCTCGGCCTCCTGAATGCCGTGTCTCAGGGGTGTGCCACTGTGCCTGGCTCCCCCACATTCCCTGTCACCTCCCCAAGGTTTATGACCCCAGGGCCTTGTCCACATGTCGTGGTGGATGTGGCTGCCTGAGTCCTCTGGTTAGGAGCTAGAGAGGCAGACAAGAGCTAGACAAGTCTGTACATGTCTTCCGGCCCTAATTAGCAGCATCTCCGAGG